ATTTCTGCCCAGAAACTAGCTTGCATTCGGAATACATTTTGAGCCATTATGTAATTACAATAATCTGTCTTTTGGCACAACATAGACTAAGGATGGACTGTCATGCATGGTTATACAGGGTGGGGCGATCCAACAACTTCCAGCACTCTCTAGCCAGCTTCCAAACAAATCTTTTGTGACACAGACTTTCCTAGACTAAATTGGATGCATGTCAGAGCTTTTCTCAGACACAGGACCCAGTCATAAAATTCCAGACCAGTATTCCAAGTACTGTCTAGCTACTTCTGCTGCACAAATTATACCTTTTGTGGGCAAAGCATTCCGTATAGGTTGTGCACAATGGGTAGTATGGATGATATGATCAAATTTAATAGGTTGGAGCCAGATTTCTTCCCCACTTCCTCTTCTGTTTGGTAGCAGCTCCAGCCCCCTGCTCTCCAGTGCTATGCAGAAACCTAGGAGAATCTGCTGAATGGTGTTAGCTGTGGCTTGTCTGGACCCTGATGGGGGAGCAGGTTCCTGAAACTGGTGCAGATGCCCACTTCTGTTAGTACAGCCCAATAGATAGCCCAATAAATTTAGAAGATCTTTTTTAAACAAAAGCAAGGAAGAACAGTACGGTGGAGTAAATGATACTGAATTGTGGCTTCCAGACACACTGAAATGTACACGTTCTTAGGGCTATAAAACTATGCACACTTAGATCAACGTGTGCCGTGCCAAGCAGTGTCAGTCTCATTTTTGTAGGCCGTTACTGTTTCCCATCCTCGGATTGCTACCTGTCCTGCCTCTTGCTCACACCCCGGCTGACAGCTGTTGTTCCAACTTGTTTGTCTTTCCCTCTGGAAGTTCATTTTCAGTCCCCATGCGCAACTCACTACCACCCAGTATGCAGCCGTGCTTCAGCAAAATTCTCCTGCTTCAAATTACGTGCTGCCAAGTGACTTCGTTATTGCTTGACACCAGCAGCAGGAAAATAATTTCCTTAGAGTGTTTGGAACTCTACAGGACCATGACCACATGGACAGAGCCAACTTCTGGGCTTTGTTCTGGGCCTCATGTTACAGGAAGGATATAGCCAGGCCAGAGTCAGTGCAGCGTAGGGCCACAAGGTTGGTGGCCGGATTGCAGGGGATGGGGTATGAGGCGAGACTGAGGGAACTGGGTCTCTTCAGTCTGGAGAAGAGGAGACTCAGAGGGGATCTGTTGGTGACATATACGTATGTGAGGGGGTATCACACGGAGATGGGCAGAGATCTGTTCTCCCCTGCAGAGGAAGGCAGGACGTGCTCCAACGGAGCAAAGCTCAGGGAACCAAGGAAGTATTTCCTGACAGTCAGGACCCTGAGGTGGTTGAGGCCCCATCAGTGAGGGCGTTCAAAGATAGGCTGGACATCCACATGGTGGGCATGTCGTGAGTGGAGCTGGCTAGAGTCAGGGGTCGGACTAGATGGCCTGTGAGACCCCTTCTGACTCGCTTTGTTCCTCTGTTTCTATGTTTCCAGGGAGATCTACACATGCTAATGTCTTTTTTAAAAAGCAACATGCATGTAGATCTTCACGAACAGGGCACCATGTATACAAAGGGCTTTTGCACATGTAGAGATTAATGTGTGACCAATCCTGTAGCAACCCCAATATTTACTGGGTATTAAATACTCAGGACGGCTACAGAATTAACCCACAACTTAGTGCTGTTAAATAAGAATGACCCCAATCTATGCAAAGGCATTTTACAAGATTAGTATATGAATGTTCTGATACAAGCGGTATTCTGTGTTCTGTATTCATTGTGTAAAGCAAGCAATTGCACAATATCTTTTGTATACATTGTGGCATTGTGCAAGATTTACTATACCAGTTATCAGGAGAGGCATAGAAACACCATACCCTTGGTGCCTGATGACCAGAGATCTTTTTCAGCACTTCTTTGCCTTTAAAGTTTTTATCAGGCATAAAGTTAAAAAATCTTTATTTTACTATGATTGTGAATATCCCATATATGGAAGTGACCAGACTTTTAAAAAATTTTGAATGAAGTTGCAATTTTAGACCTGCATTCAGTAAGTCTTCCAAGTAGACACACTCAAGAGTACACTGTAAACCAAAGATTTGTAAATTGCTACAATCTTATTGCATAACATGTTAATGTTATGTAACATTAAGTGACTACTTTCCAGCATATACCCACAAAACTTTCTCTATTTTTTCTTTTAAACATTTCCTTTTTTATTTATAGATATGGATTTTCATAAATCCATAGCAATGACTATATCTACAACATACACTACTTTCTAGAAATTATACATAGGTTTCAACAAAAGCAGACACTTTCCATTTGAAGTTGATATCTATATGCCATTTATGCAATAATGAAGTTCTTGCAATTCCATCTCGCTATATTTTTCCACTTGCACTCAATTCATCATATAATAGGAGGTGGGTGTTTTATCTTTCCATTGTCGTAATATCAATATTTTAGTTATCCATTGATTAATGCCAACCATTTACATTTTCAGGAAGTGGGTATATAATTTTTAAAAACATGTACATCAGTGAATACGAAACATTTTCCAATACAAAATTAATCTGGCTGCTTCTCAAAATAAGCAACTACTAGACCTTCCCAAAATGAATGTTTCAAGGAAACATTAGCTGTATTGCACCACCAGCAATTAGGTGACTCAGACAAGCCCTTATTAAAGAGACACTGTGGTATCCGACAGACACAAAACAAAGACGTTTTGCTGAATAAGACACAGGCTAAGAGCCATAGATATAACAGGTAGATGCCCAAGCTGGGATTTATTAATAAGGCACTTTGCAGAGGTACTCACTGCATTTTCTCAAATTTGAAATGTGCTCACTGACCCAAAAAGAACAAGGACTCTGAGATCAATTCCATACAGTGCACAATCCAATCAGAAAGCCCGTGATTTTCTGAGTCCAGAGGATTATGGGCAGAGGCTACTGAACTATGAAGGTGGGAGAAGTGCACACAGAATATGGAAGTGCTTCCATGTTTGTCCTGCCCTGTAAATCAGCAAGGTGATTCAGCCATCTCCCTGTGGCACTTTGGCAGGAGAAGGAAGGATCTGAATCACACCTGGAATGCCTGTATCCTGGTGGTTTGCATCCCCTCTCCTCCCCATAATGCATACTTTACCCCTCAAGGAAGCAGCCAACAAGGTTCTTTCTGTACCAGCTGAGGGAAGGGAGTGGAATCCAAGCACAGATAAGAATTCTGTCTTAGATCTGGGAATCCGAAGTATCCTGTGGCCCCCTAGACTATGTCTAGGAGGCCATAGGATACTTGACCCCCCTAGACATAGGGGTCATAGGTTCACTCTCTATGACAGTTGTTAATTCTCCACACTCATAAATGTTTAAAATTAAGCCCTAAACAAATAAGCTCAAACATGTGAAGTGGCTATGCAGTGTGCAATGATAAGAAACAGGCTTTGAAAATGGCTGATGAATACAGAAGGTAGCCACTTGCCACTGAGAAGGGGAAAAATCTTTTAAAATATTAATTAAATAATTTACACTGCACTGCTTACTCTTTCTAAATATTTGTCTGCTTCCCATTTTACATTGTAGCAAAAAAGTGCTCTGACACAATCTGCAGGTAAGGTGGGAAAGCAAAAACAATGTTAGCTTTCTTTTTCATATAATTGTATTGTATTCGTACATAAGAAATAATAAGAAAAAAAATGGAAGAAAGTCATATGCATGTTTCCTTAAGTAAGCACACATAGTATTGCAGACTTACATTAAGAAACATAACTCCCATATGCAGTTGGAAGATGTAAATAAAAGAGGATTTGCAAAAAGGCAGGTACATGTACTAATTTCAAGTTCATATTTTGTTTCCCAAAGATGAATACAAGAACACCACTTTGATGCAAATGTAGTATTATGTTGCTTGCCACCTCTAACAATGCATTCCTGTATGTGCCTTATCAGAACTAAGCCCCATTGGGTGGGTTCCAGCATTTGCTTGGATGAAAGAGCTCCACTCACAGAAAGTACATTTTCCCTCTGTGGGGAGTTTCCCATTCAGTAGGGCATCCTGACCGTCTGGGTAGCTTTTCCAGGGCACCTGTGGCACTGCCATGCAGAGTGGTTGGAGAAGTCTGTTTCAGCCCTGTCACTCACACCTGAATCTGCATTCAGATCACTGAGTTCCATCAGGTTTATTCCAGGTAACTGTGAAGGGGGCTGCAGTTCAAATGTCACCATCTCACTTAGTTTTACCAGTTCAGATCTCACCATCTCACTTAGTTTTCCCCATTCACTACAGGTAAGCACCTCTGAACTGCTCTCATTTTTATAGTTGCTGAAAAATTAAGGATATAGAGTAGTGTGATTTTGATAAGCAAGTCCCAAGCCCCAATACCATAGCTTTGGGGGTTAATTATATTTTACATCCAGTTTTCTAAGATAACCACCTTATTCTGAGTTTTCCAAAAGTAAACCTACATATAGTCAACGTATAGTCTCATGAGTTCAATGGGGTTCCTCCCAAATTGGTTTGTTCAGGATTGCAGACCTAAATATAATCAGTTAAGACATACAAAATTATACACCGAGATGCTCTAAATAGACATCTCTACATAACTAGTTTTGTTTTCATCCTTCCTTTTAAAACAAACTCGCCTTTCCCAGTAGAATCTCCGAGAGTGATTAGAGAATGCAAATTCATTTATATGGGAGTAATGGATATTGAAGGCAGTAGGATTTACTTCTGGTAGTATACACCTTTAGGATCACACAGCATCCCCCAAAAAGTGGCTAAAAGCCAATTCCATCTCAGCTCTTTCACTGCTCAACAGATATTTTCAAGGAAATATTCTAGCACACTGTGCAAGTCCCATTGAATTTGGGCTGTTTGGGACTGCAGCCTTAGCAAAGCCACACAAATACCATCACTCCTCCCTCTACATGAACACTGCTGTGTCTCGATAGTGATTGCATTGATTTCAAATTCAGGAACTTACCCTGTTGCGCACTGCAGGACAAACAGAGCAGAAGCAGAACTGGTAAATCCAGCAGAGAGAATGCCATTTCAGAGCCTAAGCTGTACCAGGCTCTTGGCCCTTCCCAATAGCTTGTGCTCAGTTTTCTCTGCTTGCTTGCACTATACCTTGCCGAGCTGTTCCAAGAAATGACCTTGCTGAAGCTTTTTCTTTGCTGTTCAGTCTCCTACCCACGCTTAATCCTGTCGCAACACACACTGCCAACTTTTTTTTTTTGGCAGAGAAATATGCAAACGATGCAAAAAAGTACTTCCCCAGTTTCTCAACATGCTCTGCCCTTCCTGTTTGCTTTCATTCTCTCAACCTTCATGTTGCTGCATGATCTCATCTACTCTAGTATCTCCTCCAACTAAATTAGACACTCTTGTCTTTGGGCAATGTGTGTTAAATACATGATGACTAAAGAAAGACATTGTTTGTTTGGCAGGGGTCCTTCAGTTTACTACCTTGTTTTCAACAACACAAACTATAATTGTGGCTGAAAATAGTACTGCCCGATTTATAGTTTTTACCCTCTCCGAAATTGCAGACATGTTTACCTGCAGCTCTGTTTTAACAGCAGCATGATCTGCAGATAATGCATATTAATAACCCCCACCAAACACTTCTGCTGATGATATTTGCAGAAAACAGTAAGCTGGTTAAGACAAAGAAGGCCAGGGTAGCCCCTCCCTTCCTACTCCATCATTTGGCAATCCTATTGTGGTTTTGGGCAATCAAGTAATCTCCAACTTAAGATGACCCCATGAATGAAAGCCCTACAAAATGTGCTGTCCATAACAGTCTTTCTCAGCTCTGCTAAGCTCAACACTTTATGGATTCAATCTAGCTCATAGCTGGTCTTCCTTTTCTTCTTCTGCCTCAAACTTTCCCTGGACAACATGGTTGTCTTCTCCAGGGAGTCATGCCTTCTCATGGTGTAAACTCCCATCCAGTGCCAGATCTCTCAGGTACACTTTCCTATCATGTGGTGACCCTTATTACTAGATCTTAATAGGAACTTATCTCTTACAAACCCTTCACATTTAATAGGATCTTCCCTTCACATTTAATAGGATCCCTTCACATTTAATAGGATCTTCCCTTCACATTTAATAGGATCTTATCCATTATGAAATAGACCCAGTGTTGGTAATGGGTAACAAGACCAGCAGAATCCACCAGCACTTACTGCCCTGCACCCTCAACACCAGGCGGCTGGACTGGGTGTCCATCTTAATTCCCTCACAATGTCCTGACTGACACTTCTTCATGTGATCCAAGGCATTGCTTGGAAATAGTGGCACCTTCCTACCATCTCTGTCCCCACCACTGTGAGGCTGTGAAAGGGCATCTTCTCAAACTGGCTAGTGTCACTTTAGCAAGAAAAGATGGTAGGACAGTGTTGTGTGGTATAGCAACAAAAACAGTTTAAAGGCAAAAATATGTGTCCAAAAATGTAGCAAAATGTTAATATAAATATCAGTATTCCACTCCACTTAAATGAATTTACAGTCACAAGTGCCCATCAATACTAATTTCACAAATACATAGACTGTACATATTCACAACTCCAAAATCCTAAATAACTTTTGTCTCATCTTTTCATTTTCAATGGGAGAATATAGAAATAAGCAATCATGGCTGTCCTTACTAAAACAAATTTAGCTTCATACTTGAATTCCTAGATGGGACCTGAAAAGCAAAATAACCAGGCGTAAATATATTGAAGGTAATTTACAGTATCTAATGAATGTATATTAATTTTAAGAGTTCATTTATTATTAATTGTTTTGTATATAGATACTGAGATCCACATCATTATCCAGTAACGGCATCAAATTAAAGCAGGAAAAGCTTTTCCACCTACGTCTTGAAACATAAAACACAACCATGTCTTAATTTTAAACAAGTGCTGCATAGCATCACTACCATATGACTAAACTATGATGTAAAAATTGGTACAAAGAATGCCCATTTGGGCAACAGTGGGGGACAGAAGCAAGCAGAAAGCATCAGGAAGGGGGAGTTGCCACTTCTTTCCAAATGGACCGCTAGCCCATCCACTCAAACCACAACGCCCTTGTTCTCCTGGGCTCAGATGATATGACAACCCATCAAACAATCCCTAGAACAAGCCATGGGTTGTCAAAGTGACTTGCTGTTGAAAATAGGCCTCTCTGTGGAAAGTGGTCTGGGTTTGGATGACACAACAACCCATCTTAGTTAGTTATCCAGCCAGGGTGGGCTTTTATGCCATACAAACTCAGCCACTGGCTTTTTCTCAGAGAGCTTAGAGCATTTAGCACCATTAACTGCTGCATACAGTTCTTAAGTTGAACTCAATGTAAGTATGTTTGGGAGAAATGTCCATAATATTGTATAAGTGGTTAAATTTCTCTTGAAGTCCTAAAAACAGAGCTTGTGCTTGAAAGAAGTATCAGTGTTGCCACATGCAAAAGAATTATTCTAAACATCTGAGATTTTTTTCTTCCTCGTATACAAATACAAAATAATTCAGGCTGATTCAACTTATTTTCATGCCAACTGGCTCTAAGGAGAGTAGCGTAAGTTGCAGTTCCTAGCATGAAACAAAAGTATAAATGTACTGGCAGGTGGAAATACTTTCTTTGCTCTCATGAAATTATCGCACCAATAGGGTTTAGTAGATATACTATACCTTATCATGTACCCCATCCATGCTTCATTCCTGCCAGCATTTGAGACATGCTAAGATGTAGTATTCAGCTTCTCACATGTGCCTGGCCCAAATAAGCCACAAACTTGCCTAAGTTCACAAAATTTCCACAGCACAGCCCATACCTGCAATTCTATTGAAATCTTCGGCCATTTTTAGCCCATAAGTAATGCCTTATTCACTTTCTCATTAACTGAGTTCTTCAGGCCCTCTCTACATGTCCATATCTGTGGCTTCCTACTAATAGCATTAATACTTAAGGTAGATATAGGTGCAGATACATGGAGACACACACACACACACACACACATATTTGCCTCATCACATCAACAATTCATCTTCTCCATGCAAGCCCTGATGGAGGTGGGGGAGGGGCTGTACTGAGCAAACAAAGACTTTTTGCTAAGACAACGCGTGCCTTAAAACACAAGCCCTTCTCACCTGGGTTCTTACCTTCTGCAGAGGCCTAGACCTCCCTGTGTATCAAGGCTTGTCTAGGCTCATTCCTATAATGATCAACTATTTATCATTATTTCTGGACACAGCCTTTAACCGTAGTTAGGTTATAAGCCATCTAAAATACAGTCATCAGTTAATTCAATTTTGCAACCACATTCCACAAAGTTCAATAGGGCATATTCCAAAACAAAGTGAAATGACTTCTGAAGATTTCACTAGGTGTCAATTCCTGGTAAATAGAATTAGCATTAAAACCTTGGAGTCAGATTGGAGAGGGCAGGAAAGTTCTGAATGTATAGCAGGAAGTGTGGCTTCCTGATCTAGGGAGGTGTTGATACCACTCTACATGACTCTGGTGCACCCACAACTGGAGTATTGCATCCAGTTCTGGGCTCCATGTTATAGGAGGGACAAAGCTAGTTTAGAACTGGTTCAGTGCAGGGTCACAAAAATGGTAGAGAGGTTGGGAGGGGCGACATATTAGAAGAGATTGAGAGAACTGGGTCTTTTCAGCCTGGAGAAGAGGAAACTCTGAGGGGATCTTTTAGTGACTTATAGGCATGTGAGGGGGTGTCGTGTGAAGGAGGGCTGTAACCTGTTTTTCCCTGCAGGGGAGGGCAGGACACGTTCCAATGAGGCAAAGTTCAAGGAACTAGGCTTCAGGTTGGATGTCAGGAACTATTTCCTGATGTTTAGGATCCCAAGGATGAGGAATGGGCTTCCAAGGTAGGTAGTTGAAGCCCCATCAGTAAGGGTTCAGGGAAAGATTGGGGAACCACATGTTGGGGAGTGTATGAGCAGAGCCGGCTGGAATCAGGGGCAGACGAGATGGCCTGGGAAGCCCCTTCTGACTCATTTTGTTTCTTTGTTTCTCTGCAAATCATCTAGCTGAGGAGATAACCAATATTTCTCTCTGTAATAAGCATTGACTAAACATGTTTGAGATACAGCAAACATCTTTGGGCTGGGCTGGCGATGTCCAATTACATACTTTGCAATGGATAAGAACAGTTAGTAGCAGCATGGAATCTAAACTGAATAGCACCTATTATTATGCAAGTTGATTTTTTTTGGAAAATGAAAATCACGCAAATATATTTTATGATATTAAATGCATAGCACTTCTGCCCCTGTCTTTGTTAAAATACACAGTGATTCAGAAATAAGTTTCACAGAATTGAGCAGAAAGCCTTGGAACCCTACATATAGATATGGGAGGGGTGGACCTCTGTGTCCACCCCTCCCATATCATATGAAAAGTAGGACAGCCACTAGCAAAGAAGAAATGTATCACCAAAAGGAGGCCCATGTTTGCTAAGAACATGCATATGCTAAGTTATTGATGCAAATTTAAAATCAAGTGTGATCATTTCGAAAGAATGAGGTTCACCTTCTAAGAGGGTGGAAGACTGTGAGGAGGTGCCTCTTTGTTCCAGGTGTTGTTCAGACACTGACTCCTGATGAACAATCATTCTTCAGATCCTTGATATTTACATTAGAATGGAACAAGACCACCTTTCAAATGGACTGCCCTAAAATATTAAAATATATCATAGCCTCCAGTTCTCTGAATCAGTATGGTCCATCCATTAGGCAGGTGGCCTCTTCCCAGGCCACCAGGCTGCTGTTTGGGCAGCATTTATAATTTATTGTGGCTGGACTACACACCAAGGCAGTGTCTCACCTTGTCATTATAATCCTCCAGTGTGTGTCAATGGGAAAGGCCTCTGAGAATGGAACAAGCAGGGAAGTAGCCAATCTAGACAACATGCCAGAGCATGTTGGCTGAAGGCAAAGAACAGATACACAGCCATTGGGGGTGGGAAATATGGAAACCATGGGGACCAATGCATGGGCCCTGCATGGCACCCCATTCATCCCACTTTTTAAAAGAAATAAAAGTAGCACATTTTCTTACTGGCAGGCGGGAGAGCTGTGCAGTAGGGGTTTTGTTTCTGCTGACAATGTTGGCTTGAAAATATTTGTTTAGACAGTTGCAAATCCCCCACTTCTGCCTTGCACTCAGTCTTTTGGGCACATTAT